TGGCCTCCGAGGCGTGTCCTGCTGCCGTGACCGTCTGTGCGCTCCGTGCCGCTGGCTCTCCCCTGCCCGCGAGCCTCCAGCCTTCCTGAAGCCGACGGCTGGGAGTCCACGGGCTGGATCGAGGCTCACACCCACTCCCGTGCCCTGGGGAGCGAGCTGGTGCCCAGCTTCTCGCCTGCACAACCCTGACACAGAACTCTTCAAATCCGGCTGCTGCACACACGACCGGCAAATTCGGAGACGGCCATTTTCCTCTAAAATGCCCAGATGGCCCTGACTGGCTTGGCTCAGTGGATAAAGCATCGGCCTGCGGACTGAAGGGTCCCGGGTTCGATTCTGGTCAAGGGCACATGCCCGGGTTGTGGGCTCCATCCCCAGTAGGGGGTGTGCAGGAGGCAGCCGATCAATGATTCTCTCTCATCATTGATGTTCCTATCTTTCTCTCCTTCTCCCTTCCTCTCTGAAACCAATAAAGAAATATATTTAAAAAAAATAAAATTAAAATAAATAAATAAAATGCCCAGATGAATGCAGAACACAGGAGGGTGGCAATGAAGAAAATGAGACTTAGAGGACAGGTGTAAGCAGTGACGAGGACACAGCCACACCAGCCTGGGCTGCATCAGCTGGGGAGACCGTCGGGAGAAAGGCACTTAGGTAACTTCAAATCCTCCGTGGTAGTCACGGTTACCAGGAACTACATGCGTGTAACAAATACAGGTCAGAAAATTATACCGAGGAAAACGTCCAGGACTGAAACAGAAACATGACCCTGAACGGAGATGCTGACCCATCAGAAACGAAGGGACATCCTGCTTACGACAGCGAAGTGCCTTCGCCGACACTCCCGCTTGGAAAGCACGTTTCCCGTTGTCCCATCGCCGCCAGAGGAAATGTGCTCATTGTCTACACAGGCCTGGCAGGAAAGGGACTGACAGCGAGTGCTCGGCTGTGCTCAGACCCACAGGTAGCTGTGGACCCACCTTCAAGGTCCCGGCAACCTCACAAGGATGTGATGAGACAAAGTAGGCCAACAGGCTCTGCCCACCCACACTGACCAGGGAGCTCAGAGCCCACGGAAGGACACACCTGCACCAGCCCCATGCGGCACGTGAGCACGTGGCGGGCCTTGGCCAGAGGCAGCCACGGTGCAGGGAGGAGGAACTCCGCCTGAGGTGTGCGCAGCAGGGCATGAGGACACGACCTGGCAGGAGGACGGGGTCCCCCGTGAAGCCGTCCTAAGAAGTGTGGCTGGCGGATTTCGGTGTCACAGCCCTGCGCTGGGTCGGACATTCTATGATCAGGGACACGTTCGCATTGAGTGCTGAATCAGAGAAACCCAGTCAACACAGCGAGGCTGCAGCACGGCTGCCCGCACCGACGGCGTACTGCTGGCGCGAGCAGCCGAGGACTCCGTCCGGTCTGGGCCTGGCCACGCTCCCTCCAGATGACCCCACCGAGGCCGGCTCCACGTACCTTCCTCAGGCCGAGTTTGGCAGCGATTTCGTCCACCACCTCGGCTTTTGGGTCTTCAAGAAGCTCCAAGCTGTTCTGTGTCCCAATCTGTCGGCATTGAAGGGAGAGGGGGTTCAGAGGGGCTCAGAAGAGCACGGGCCCCCAGCTCCACCCTGGCTTCGCTGTCACAACGGAGCGCTGGGCACCCCTGGCCGAGAGGGGGTGACAGCAGCAGAGAGAACGCCAGGCCGACAGAGAGCGCACACAGCCCAAGCCGCTTCTGCGCCTCCCGCGGCTGCACGTGCTTCAGAACACGGAGACCCGATGCTGCAGCCGAGCCGCCAGGAGGGCTGTCGGGGCTCAGGAGGGCGCTCCACGGGTTGAGGTCCTTGGTGGGCAGGAGGCTGGTTTCAGAGCGCTCCTGATAAACAGGCTCACTCTGGCCGGCTCCCGCCCAGCCTGCTGGCCCGGCCCCAGCTGCCTGCAGGAGGCGATGCTGGGG